ATTTTAAGATATATTATATAAATATAATATAAGATGAGGGTATTTTTCCTACATTACAAAATTACATTACTATATCATTAAACTCGAATGTTATGTATTTTCTATATTTTCTTATGGTCGAATGAACTCAATAAATGGCRATTTTGTCGGCAAAATTATTAATTTTTAACTGGGAATTACGAGTAATTTAGGTGCAAAGCTTTGTATATTAAATGCTAMCCTTGTCATCGGTTTTTATTAGACTAACAGTGATTTTTCTACATAGTACATCGATTGTGTGAATAAAAATAAACAATTATATTTAACATTAACTTAAACTAGTCGTAATATTAAGTCGAAAACAAATTATTGTACAGCTCAATTTGTTTAATAGTAAGTATATTATATCCGTAAATAAACATAAATAGGTACTAGTTAAACATGTGCATCGAATATTTTAAATTATTCCAAATTGCTATAATTATAATTTATAGGTTTCGTTACATGTAATAATATATTAAGTTATAAGGTAGGTACAAATTTTAATTATAATTATTATCTTGACAGTTCATAAAAAAATACAATTTAGTAATTGTTTTATGTGACCTAACAATTCAAGACATCTTTTAAATRKTTTTTTTTTTAATACAGGTTGAAAATAAATGATTTAGTATAAATTTTAAAATTATATTAATAATAAAACCGTTTCGTGCCATAGATTTATAAGAATTAATTTTATCGTAATATTTTGATAAATCGGTAATAGTCTATTTTTATGTGACACGTATTTGTGTATAATTATTATTATAAAAGGCGTACCTATTACAATAGTGCCTAAACGATGAAAGAAATAGTGTTATGTAAACGTGAAAAAATGTATAAATAATTTTGATGGTAATTTCAAAATGTATAGATATTTCTTTTTTATATAGTATATTAATCAAATGTCAACAAGATTAGAAATTAATCGTAAGGAAACACAACGATATTATAATGTTTAAATTGACGGTGTTGCATTTTATTAAGGACGCCAGAAAAAAAATGATAATAATACATTATAATATTTTTTTAAGGATAAAATAAATAGTAAACATACACTATATTATAATCATGAATTATTTTTATCCAATAACAAAAATAAATAGTATTCTGCTACTTAAGGTAATAACCAAAGTATATCACCTAATAATTTAAAATTAAAAAAATAAAATAAAATAAATAATCATAAATTACAAATCATTTTTACTCGGTAAGTAGATTTACTATTGAGCACAGCCAGTAAAAGTTTTTGACAGACATAATCATAGTAATAATAATAATAATAATAATAATAATAATAATAATAATGATAAGTGTAATAAAGAATAATATTAATATTAACCGACATCTATATGTTTTTTATATTTTCTTTTGAAAATATTTTATAAACATTATTAATCGAAATAATTCTCGATGGTTGACAGAAGGCATACGCGTAGATAAATAAKATTACAAACTAACCTTAAAATTCTTTAGCACTAAAATTGGCTAAATAGTGGAATATTTATACTACGTCAAACGTGTGCTCGTGTATGTGTGTCGCGGTCGTTGTTATGTGTTTTTATTTTTTTATTTTTCTATAACGTCCCCAGTGCAGCGGCTACCATTTATATTATTATTAAGTTTTATTGCAGTAACAATTTATGTTAACGAGAGAAACGTCYGTTTTAGTCGGCCACTTGGGAGGCGTCGTTGTCGGTACGAAATGACTTAGACGCATTTTTTTTTTTTTTTAAGCCCAATAACGATAGCACGTCACGATGCAGAAGGCAAGTACAATACCTGATGCGATGCATTTAATAATAATGACGATACGGTGTATCTTAACTATCTATCTATACCTGCCAATGATGGTGAATTGACGACAGCGGACAAATGATAATATTTTGGACGTGTCACGACGTATATAGATTGATTAATAATCGATCTCGATGACATTACAACGGTCGGAACCGCCCAGGACGATTCCGTCTAGATATTTATATTTTTTTTTAATATTATACAGTGATATACAGTCAATCCTTGCCGCGGTCGACCGCCATGAGACATATAATAATAATAATAATAATAATATAAAATATATATTATTTTATTATTGCGTGACGCATTCGGGCAACGCGATGTAACGAATTAACAATGATCATATTATGCACAAGCCTCGTGGCATCTATACTATTATCGCGAACGTAAAGACAACAAAATAGCCGCCATGATAATGCTGTTATACGTATCCAATACCATATAACTGTACAAGTGATGCGCGTCTATGTTATGTAGCCGCTAAAATAAAAACTGTACGAGAGAAAAACGTTTAGGTTTTTCTAAATTCAAAGACCAAGTCCAGAGAGATTAACGATGTGTACAATGCATGTACGTGTAGTGTGCGCGCGCGAGCGTGTGTGTGTGTGTATGAGTGTGTGAGGAAAAGAAGTAGGTACTCGTTAAAATAGCAAATCGACCGGTCGATCAATCACACTCTATTTATTTTTTTTTCACTATATCAAACACACCGTCGTCATGTAYATATGTGACGTATATGATATATATATATATATATCAGAAACTCTAACTAGACTATACTTATATCACTAGATATTACATAGGTATAATCTATTTATATATATGTGTGTATATACTTAAATAATAAGTGTGTGGGAGGATAATATTATATTATATTCGCAGTCACCATAAAAATATAATACACATTATAATAWAATAATATGATATTATATATTATTATTATTACTATTATTATCAAACGTTTATTGATCACTCGAATTTTCCTATAAGACCAGTCTTTTCGATACCAAAGCGCACGTGACACGTCATTGTGCCAAACAGCTCCGCCAGTCTGACATAAATATTGATAAAATATTATAATGTGATAYAAAAACAAGACGACAATGATGAACATCATTCGCGATGGTTGCACACGTTCGTTTCAAAGTGTTCCCGGGACTCTCGTGGACGCGCTTATTACCGTCGTAAATATTGTACAGTCGACGTTATAATATACCTAGTCGAATTTACTTCTAGAGAGAAATGGTTAAAAGAAAAAGAGAAAAAAACGCCCGTCCCCCGCCCCGATAATAGAAGTCGATACGACGACAGACGGAAAATAAAAACAAAACTTGAGAAAAAGAAATTACTGGTAAAACTCCGACCCCCTGCCCTCCCGCAGGACGACGAGGACGACCCAAACCGGACTAATCACTTTTCTTGTATATTTGAGCCATACGGCGGTCCTCGTCGGGCATGTCTGTGTCGGACCAGCCGTACACGTTCGTACACATCTCGTGCGCCGTCGGTGAGCCGTCACTGTTGCCCGTCGCCGTATCGGTGGCCGGCAGCTTGCGCGTACCGTCGCCGGTGCGCAGGGCCCGCTTGTTCACCAGTTCGGCGGGCACGGTCTTCAGGTCGTACGCCCAACCGATCAGCGAGAACGCGTCGATGAACAGCGTGGACAGGTTCAGCTTGTAGTCGAGCAGCTCGGCGTTCTTGTAGTCCCAGGGAAACGTGTGGTGGTAGTTGTGCCAGCCGTCGCCGCACGTGGCCACCGACACGAACATGTTCTCGGTGGGATTGATGTTCCTGCAGGCGGGCAAACAAGCGAAAACAAAATTTTAAAAACACRGCGACGTCATTATATAACGCAGGGATTCTCAAACTGTGGTACGCGTACCCCKTGGGGGTACTCGAAATTTTTTTTTTACGTGTAGGTACGAGTCTGCTCAAGAAAATTGTATATATTTATTTTAGTCTAGTCACTAAGAAGGAGAACCCCMAAAAAAATGTATTGGCAAAAAGGAGTACACTGTTCATAAAAGTTTGAGAATCCCTGATATAATATGGCAACCGATATGATCAAAATATATAAATGACAAATATTGTGATTATCTGATGATATTTTAAATTTTGTTTAGGTCAACGATTGAGCAAAACAATATGAACTGACATAATATTTATGGCTACTGAGACGTCACGAACAAGGATTGTCTCCGGACCGTATCGCTCTACAGGCAATTTTCATATTGCATAAATAATTGGTTTGGTGTTTTATATTAATAAACATTTTCGTGTATTATCAGCTGTTCTATCATAGTAGTTCTATTCTGACAGCTCCCGAAAACCAAACCGAAACCGTTTAATTAGTGGTTTCTTGGACATTTTAATGTAGATGCATAACGTATATTATCGCAAAAGGTGCTGTAGGTAGCATAATATATAAAATACTGATTTTTAATATTTTTTAGTATCTATTTTAAATAAACTTGCTGATTAAAAACTATTTACTTTTAAAAGTAAAGAAATAGTTTTTAAGAGAGGTCACGGAATCGGTCAGTATCTAATTTGGTGGAAACGAATATACAGTTGAAAACTTGTAACATTAAAAAAGTATGATTTTGATGAAGACGTGTTGCCTCTGTCTGGGTACTGATCGTACTGAGTAAAGCAACATAAGCGATTTTTCGGCTCCCCACCGTGAACCGACAGTTTTAAGGACAATGGTGGTATTGAATGGGATTGATGGGTGTGTTCAAGGCATGAGCCACAACATCGTCCCACCCATAGTATAAGTACTATGGTTCCATCCGATAAACCCGAWTTTCGAAGGTCTTATATTGAAAGGAATTAGAGACAAAAAAATCTGTTACGGTTCGTCACCTCCGATACAGCCAACTATGGTTTATCCCACTGGATTTAGACATTTTCATAGGGATTATAATATATATGTGTGATAAGTGTTACTGCCATGACATATATAAACAAGACGAATGGCGTAGTGGCTTTTCGTTAGACGTTCAAAATATATAGGTATTATAGATATTATAGGAATTTCTGCACAAGCCAAACCAATGTATATTATATACCTATACATATACATATAATAAATCGTATGAATACAGAATATAGGGGACATTTTAAAAAACCATAGCAAAGAACGCAATCAAGCAAGCTAAACGAGACGAGCTCTTACCGTTGTGAGGTAAGATTTTTTTGTCACCACGATAAATGGCTATTTATAAGCAAGGTAGCTACATAAATAACAATAATAATACTGGTCTTGAGTTCTAAGGGTGTGTCTTTAGTGGGGGGGAGGTCTCATCAATAGTTTTACTGTTTCTAGACTTCAAGAGACATGCAATACAAAAAACAACCGAATCAMTTGTTTACAATAATAGTTGGTGAACGGTTCTTGTAAAATAAATCATTCGAAATTCTCCAAACCTTTYGTAAATCATAAAAGTAGGTATATAGGTGAATGACGTAATGATAATCGACGATTTTGTTGTGTTATACCATCAGTATCGTACCGCCCCGAGAACGAAAATCGTTTTTTTTTTACACGACGGTGGTTAATTTAGCTTCAAGATACAGAAAAACAGGGAAAAAATTCACTTTATATTATACGCGTGTAGTACATAAATAATGATTGATGTAGTGTATCGACTAGGGCGTTCTATAAAAAGGCACTAAGTGCGATTTTATTTTTCTGAACCATATAAGGGACGCCGTAAACATCTTATAGTAAATTTGAACCTATACAGAATAACACATTTCATCCGATCGATGTAAATCTATAAAAGCAGCTCCGCTTTACAGGCGACGATATTTTGGATACATGACCAAATATTATTATTATTATCATCATYATAGATAGACAACTTCAAATGGCTAATTGACTTGACTAACGAAAAATGTTGAGCCTATCACTTTTAAGCTTATCCTATCGGTTCAGCCATTTAGGAATGCATAAAGAACAAACAGGCAGAAATCCATTTATATATTTACTATGCATTTAATGATACTTCAAAATCATTTTTTGAGGTTTTTATGTTGCATTGAATTCAAAGTTCCTTAACTATTACGTATTATAACGACGATGGCGATAWACAGAGTGATTCATCAAGCAAGCTAACATCCATTTTTTTTATTCAAATTCTAATTTTTGGAATTTTAAAACATGCATAATGATTAATATCCCTACTTTCAGTTATTTTAGTTTTTCATACCATTTACGGATTTTTATAAGATGAAATAAACTTCTTCTTTTTTTTTAATGAGAACCAAACTTTTTTACTGTACATTATAATCAAGCAGATGATTCTTTTAAATTGTTAACTTATTAAAATGAATAATATACAAAGGATAATAGTCTTTAAGAATGGTTTTACAAAAATATAAAGTAGATGTAATATTGAATAATATAACATTTATAATATTTAATACACTCCATTAATTTTTACAAATTATTAAATGTTGATGGAATAATATGAATTACTAAAACATTCAAATCATCATAGCCTTCTCATAATAGCTTCCAAACTCATATCATCATATTATTACGAAACCACACTATAGTTAATATGCGAAGTCAATAACTCAACAATTCTTGAAAATGTTCGGAATATTACGATTTTTATACAATAAATGGGTCATCTATAATTTGGTGTTAGATGGGCATACGAACCTCGTTTGAATAAAAAAAAGTTGTCGTCACCACGGGAAAACAGTACTCTCTCCTTTTTATTAGTATAAACAATTTAAGCATTTGAGCACATTCGTTCCTTATTTAAAATCAGAATATTTCTATACAGGAGCACTATACTGTGCACTAAAATCGAATTATTCTTTAAAAAATGATTACTATGGAAAAATATTTTATTTTCTTTTAGCGACAGCTTGGAATAGTGTACAAGATAAAACATATGTATCTCAAAAACGTTAGGGTCATCTTCTGAAATAACGATAAGTGTGTGTGTGTGTGTGTGTGTGCGTGAATCAAACACACTAATTGGTAGGCACATAATGTAATATCGTCGTGTCGTTGTATAGGATATTAAAGCAACGGAGGCGAACACTCACTTGTCGTACGGCTTGAGTCCCCACATGTGCGCAGCGCTGTTGATGAGGAACGTGGAGTGCAACGTGAGCACTTGCCGGAGCTGGGCGGCCACCAGGTGCGCGACCAGCAGGTCCTCGCCCCACAGCCACCACGGCACGAATGTGGGCAGCGCGTACGACAGGATGGCGGCCAGCGGCGCGTACAGCCTGTACTGCCACATGACCACCCAGTCGGACTCCATGTCGGACATGTCCACCGACGACACCTTGGACTCGAACGCCGGGTGCGGCATGATGAGCGCCCAGCCGACGTGCGAGTAGAAGAACCCGCGGTTCGAGTTGTGCGGGTCCGCGTCCGTGTCCGTGTACTTGTGGTGCAGCCGGTGGTCGCGCACCCAGTTGTACACGCTGTACTGGACGCCCACCGTCTGGAACAGGGCCAGTATGATGCGCAGCGGCAGCTTGGCCTTGTACGCGTGGTGTGACCACAGCCTGTGCGAGCCGGCCGTCACGCCGATCGACGACATGGTGCCGACCGCGAGCGCTGCAATGGTAAACGAATCAAGGTTTTTTAAGTTGTTTTTTTATTTTAGATTTATTTATACGACTCATTATAGCACCGACTGCACTGCAGGTTGCAGTGACATACACCTGTGGGGTATACAGGGTGATTGGGTTTTAGCTCCCTCGCCCCGTTTTTATACTTGAATTGTACATAATATATAYATATATATAATAAAAAMCCYYMWTTTTWRRAWTTTTWARKTTKSCTWWWAAWWMCMMMWTTTYMAAWTYC